TGTACCTATTGAAACAACACCAAAGTATATTGTAAAAAAATTTTAAGTATTTTTTTTAAGGTTATTATTTCTATTAATTTAGAAAAAGTCCTGTTCGACAATCATATTTATTTGGAAGTAATGTCAAACAACGAGGAGATGGAGAAGAAAATCGTATAAATATAAGTACATCACCAATAATTCCATCACCACCACCTGCAGTTTTATCAACAACGACAGCGGATACCAATGAATTAATGAAAAAAATTGATTATTTTATTAAAGTAAAACAAACCGAAAAGATTTTATATTTGAAATAAAATGTTTTTGTTTTGGTTAGTGCTATGTAGCTTTTCTAATTGATGTATTTCAACCATCGAAATCTGTTTTTGGTACAAATAGTGGTTCAATTCTTGTTCAAGTATAATGAAAATTTTATGTTTATTAAACATATTTTTGTTTTTTTTTCTTTCTTTAGGAATTTAATTTATCAGATGTTCATTTACTTTGTATTCGTATGTTTATTAAACGTCTTCATTTATTTTGTTCATATCAAATTGGTGTTGGCGGTAATAATGCTTCGCTTGCTAATACAGGCATGACATTACTCGAACAACGTAATCTTCTTGTACCTTTACAAACACTTAAACGGTTCGTTGAAATTTACATCTCAAAAAATAGAATTTTCAAAATTATTCAGATTTGTAACAAAGATGTGCTACGAAGTCGAAAGAAAGCTGCTAGTCACATTTCTTTATAATTCTTTTACTTAATCCGTGAGAAATGCAATAAGAAAGTAGTTTATATATAATAATGAAATGTTATGGATGTACGGTTTGTGATCGTATATCAACAACATCTATGGGTACAAATTTTCACCGCTATACTTTAGCACTCGTTTTAGATTGTGTTTCACAAAAATTTCTTTCATGTATTAACTGACTCCAATAAGACAAGGTTACAAATATAATTATTTATTTGACTTGTTAAACCCGCTAATGTTGATGTTTCTTAAGAGACAGCGATCGACGAAGAGATGTACGCCTTAGAATAACATATAAAACAAAAAAGAAATCGATACAAAATCAGTACGAGAAAAACAAAGAAATGTCACATTAGAATGTCTATGAAAATTCAACACAAAATCGATGATTACTGAATCTGATAAACCATGAGTTGATATTCATCTTAAGGGTATCTCCCCTCTTCTTTTCTGAGTTTCTCAAGAACACCTTAACAAAAAATTCTGAGATTTCCAGAGTAGATAGATCTCGACTAGTAGAGCAAAAGTTGTCATAGACTCAAAATTCCTGGATGCTTCTTTCTATGAAATATTTTTTTTAATAACTAGAATCAAATTGGGTGTATTTATTTATTTTTTCTATAAAAATATATTATTTCCTTCGTTTCGGAGAACCAAAAATCAATAGAACATTATTTGAGTGAAAAAAAAATGTATATAGAGACCTCGATTTGATCCTAATTGTTACACAAAAAAATTTCAGCTCAATCGGTCGAAGTATCTGAGAAGAAAACACGAAACAATGTACAATTTTCGATATACAATGGTCACAAAAAAATACAAAAAATTTTGAGTCATGGAAGGAGAGAGAAGTGCTCTTAAGATCTGACTAAATACATCTGCATGTGAGACAAATTGTTAAGATTTCCAATCATTTTCTTTTCAATTAGAACGATTTATGAAATTATGTATAACTAAGTATAAAATGAATGTTGAGTAAAACATTGCACGAAGTATAAACAATGCGATCGCTCGCATAAAATTACAAATCTTCCATTTATTGTTTTTTCTTTTGTTTTCTAGAACATGTATTGATACATATGTCCGTCAACCTCTTTATACTCTTCTTCAAATTGGTATTGTTCGATGTCCACTTGATCAACGTTATAATATACTTTTATTTATTTGGTATACATATATACGTCCATGGCGATTTAGTCCAGAAATTGTATTAAATGATCATAATGCAATAAATTTACTTGATACAACAACAATTGATCAAGATACATTACGACAAGATCAATCAATTATAAATACAGAAACAATAAATTTTGTTGAACATAATCTTCCATTTTATGGTCGTCTTTTTCAATTGGCTATTGATCGTTTACAAAAAACTGATTTAACAAATGCACTTATTGCACAACTTATCAATAAATTAGCTAATGTATATTTTCATCTTTTTTAAAAATCAAATATAGAAAAAAAAACGAAATTTTGCTTTTCAGGTATTTTCAGTTAAAAATTTCTCTTCATTACTTCTTAAAGGTAATATACAAAAATTAAAATATCTTTATCATTTCTTATGTTTTTTTTTTAAATTCTAGCTGAACAAGTAGCAATGTATTCATTGTCAACATCATATTCACCTAGTAAACAACGTATTTCTCCTCCATCATCACCTGTTGGTCGACGACCAACTTATTCTATATTATGTGATGAAACACGTACATTAATGTTAGCTTTCCTACGTAAAATTTCAAGTGTTCTACAACGTAATCAACGTCGTATTGAAGAACGTGATAATTTAACTCAAAAAGAGAAACAAAAAGCTTTACAAGCAGCACAAATTGTATCAACAAATATTTATGAATTATCAAAAAGATTTTTACTTAAATTTTTTTATACAAAATCTCAATCATTAACAATAAATAATCTTCAATTAAAACCACTTTTGCCAGTAGAAATTATTGAACAATTAACAAATACAAAAAATAAATTTTGTGAACTTTTTCAAGTAAGTTAAAGAATTAGAAGGGTAGTAGTAAAATACATTTTGAGTCAAAAGTTCAAACAAATAAATATTCGATAAAAATGAAATTGTAATAAAATCAATGACTCTTCTAGAATCACTATTGTGCGGTCAAGGATTAATTCATACAAAAATTTTATTCTAGGTCGATACGAATTCATTCGATACAATAACTCATGATGATGAACCGTCTTTAGCATATTCATCAGATACATCATTTCAAACAAATAAAGTAAGAGAAAAGCTCATAGAAATATTTCTATTTAATCTTGTAAAAATTTTCTAGTCCTTGTCGACATCAATCTCTGGATCAACATTAAATTCTTCTTATATTCCTTATGAATTTGAAAATCCAATTTTATCTCCACCAAATCCATTTGAACTTCGACCATTACTTTGGTTTAATCGTCAACTTTCAGAAAATATTAATCTTCGTGTATATATTTTTTTTTTGTTATTATAAAATTCTTTTCATTATCTTTTTGTTTTTGTCTTTTCTAGTATGCTGATCAAATCAATTCATTATATAATCGTCAAGATTTTATTGGTTTATTCTTTCGTCAATTATTCTATGGTCCAAATGATCCACGATTACATTCAATACATACACCACAAATAAATTTTCGACATTTTACTGATATACGTACTTTATGTCTACTTACATTGATCTATTTTGTCTTACGATTTACTATTGGTGGAGCTAATTTACCATTGAATCTTTTATTATTAACAATAATTATTCTTCTATGGAATATCTTTCGAACTATACAAACATATAGACAATCGTTAGGTTCATTGTGACAAAAACAAAAATTTCATGATTGTATGTTCTGTGTTCATGTTTAAGATAATGTATAGATAAGATTCGTTTTTGTTTTTCGCTAATACTAACAACTTCACATGAAAATAAATAAAAATTTCTAGAAAGATATTCAATAGGAATTTACATTTTGTAGTCATGATTTAATAATATAGTCAATGTAATATGTGATCTTCGGGCAAGAATTTCTCAAGATGGATTACTACTTAGTACCCGGTGAGACTGACAGTAGTGGTCGTTTATTTTCTCTTCATAGATCCAGTATCTGCAACTACTTGATATACAATAAATGACGTATAGGAGTCATACATAATTGATATTCTGAAGAAAAAATAATGCGAAAATAAAGTCAAACTTTAGATATATGAATCTTCTTGTTTTGTTTCGAGAGATTAACAGGAATATCGTTATTGGAAATTAATTATATTAGATTTCTCTTTGACACGATCTTTTCAGTTGCGGCTGAGTTATCTATTTTTCGTTTGTTTAGATAATTGCTTGTATTTAATATTAAAATACTTTTGCTCTCTTCCCTTTCATTTCTACACATTCACCAATTTCCATGACTAAAACAATTTGGTGACGCCAGGCATTAATGGCAACTGTGCTCTCTGCATGTCAGGGACGGCGCGATGGGGAGTCATCCTCTTGCTCTGAAAAACTTTGAATAGGATTTTCTTCGGATTTGAAAATTTTGAGGATCAATTTTTCTCCGATTTTGTGGGTTTTACTAAACAATTTTATCCAATTTTAAAGAAATATATTATAGAAATTTCTCCAAAACTGAAGGAAGTCCAAGTTTGGAGAAAGTTGTTTAATATATTTTTTCGAAATCGGAAAAAATCCAATTTAGAAGAATATTACTAGACGATTTTCTCCGATTTTGGGACAATATATCTGTACAACATTCTCTGATTCAAAGAAAATTTCAGTTTAAAGAAGACTTTCTCCGATTTTAGGATCGATTTCCGTCGTGCCCCCTCTGCTACATGTAATCGAAGCAATTATTTGTTGTACAATATCGGTAGTATGAAGAATGAAGAGTACACTGAATCAGAATTAATAAATATGAAAAATAATTTCCAATAGCTTCAAAATGATATGAGCGTTGAATTAAAAGTATAACAAATAATATTGGTTTATGAATATGTTTTTTAAGTACGATTTGTCAAATGTAACAAAATAGTTATGATACTAATCACGTCCTATCTGATATGTATTCTTTATTGAATTTTATGTGTAAGTCTGATGTGGTATTCTTTCAAAGAAGTATTCGTCCAGTACTACGTTCTCAATAAATAGAATATCAGAAAATTTTATCTAATAGAATGAATGAAAAAAAAATGCAGCCGTTCTTTGTCGTTCTTATCTTTCGTTTTTTAATATTTTTTAGAACTATGAAACAAGATATTACAGATTAAACTGTCATGTTTCGTTTACTTTTCTGTTTATTATTATTTTTAGTTGGACTTGAATTATCAAGATCAAGTTCATCAAACACTATTTATCCATGGATAAAAAAAATTCATGTTGTTTCTATGACACATTTAGATGTTGGTTTTACAAATTTTGCATCAAATGTTTGTTCTATTTATTTCAATAAACATTTACCTAATGCAGCACGTCTTGCACAAGAACTTCGTGATCGTGGTGGTGATGAACGTTTTATATTTACTACACATCCATGGATACTTTTAGAATTTTTTGATAATATTGCACAATGTACAAATGAACGACCAAATCGTACAACAATTGAATTAGTTACAAATGCTATTAAACAAGGTGATATAACATGGCATGCACATGCATTTTCAATGTTTATTCCAATGATGGATAAAAATTTATTTAATATGTCATTAAGTATATCATCAATATTAGATGATCGTTTTTATCAAAATAGAAAAATAAGTGCATCACATAAAGATGATATGGGTCATCCAATAAGTAGTATACCTATATTTGCTGAAAATGGAATTAAAGCAATTCATATTGGTGTTAATCTTAATTGTCGTGGTGCTGATTTACCACCTGCATTTGTATGGAAACATGAAGAAACTAAAACTGAACTTTTAGTTATGATGTACAATAGACCTTCAGCCACCACTCCGTGTTCAGCTGAATCTTGTATTTATGGTGGTGATGTTGTTCTACCAGGATTTGATGAAGCTATGATCTATCATTTTACATTAGATAATACTGGACCACCTCAAAATATTACGGATGTCGTTCGAGTATGGTCTAATATTAAAACTCATTATCCTAATGCTGAAATAATAGCAAGTAGTTTAGATACATATAGTAAATCTTTATTAAAATTATATAAAGATCAATTACCAATAATAACAGATGAATGGGGAACAACATGGTTATATGGTGTAGCTGCTGATCCATATAAACAAGCAGCATATCGACAAATATCAAGATTATTAATTAATCAAGAATATTCATCGTCAATATTTAATTATTCATTTCGTTTATTAAAAAATCCTGAACATAATTGGGGTTTATGTACTGGATGTTATTTAAAACAAGAAAATTATGCATTTAATTATCATAATAACGAATTTTTACATGTTAGAAATGGAAGTGATTTTCAATTATTAGAACAAGGATGGGAAGAAGCTCGGTCTTATTTATATCCACTTAATTCATCTGATCCTTTATTAATTAAACTTGTTAATGATACTTTAAAAGAACTTGAACCATTACGTCCTAATTTAGATCAATTTATTCAAATACCATTACCATTAAATCGAACAAAAGATTATTTTTTATTTGAAACAATATTATTTTCTGTTGGTTTTAATTATACATCAGGTGCAATTGTTTTTCTTCAAGATAATCTTGGAAGAAATTTCTCAAATATAAATAATACTTTAGGTAGTATTCAATATAAAACATATTCAAATGATGATTTTAATCGTTTTAATTTACAATTTAATCCAAATTGTGGACCACCATGCGGTGATTTTGCTAAACCAGGTTTAACAAATTCTGAAAGTCAAACATTATATCCATATGTTATTTCAATGTGGAAAGATAATATGAATACAACAGTTCTTATTGAGTTAACATTTTCAAATAATACTATTGAAAATTATGGTGGAAGTAAAACATTATGGTTAAATTATACATTTCCATTAGATTCTTCATCAACGATTTTTATTCAATTAGAATGGTTTAATAAAACAGCAACTCGTCTTCCAGAATCAATTTGGATTGAATTTAATCCAATCTTACCTATTATTTCCGATACATGTAATCAATGGAAAATTGATGTACTTGGCTATGATGTTGATCCATCAAGAATAGTTGATTATGGTTCAAGACGATTACATGCTATTGGACATGGTGGTGTACGTTTTTATGATCAAATAAGTACAACACCATTATTTACTCTTTATTCATTTGATGCACCATTACTTTCAATTGGTTCATCAGAATATTTATTAAATTTTGATAATTCAATAGCTGATTGTCAAGGAATAAATAAAAATGGTTTATTTATAAATCTTCATAATAATCTTTGGAATACAGCATTTCCAATTTATTATGAACAAGATGCAATATTTCGTTTTAAAATTGAATTTTTAACAGATTGGATGCAAATTATCGATAGAAAATAACAATTTAAAGATGTTTTTTTTCTTCAAAACTTTTCATTTGATATTTTTAGTTATTATTTTCAAAGATTATTTTATTGAAAATTTATGAAATAAAATACTAGAATTAACCTCTCTATTTTATCAGTACATAAAAAATTCACTTGTATTTGTCTGTTCAAGTCAAACAAATACGGTCGTAGTACGGACTCCGTATTCGTCGACCTGAGTATAACATAGCTGCCATATGGTATTTATAGTGTGCGAATGGCCACTTGATAGTTATGGTATAAATGACTGCATAGGATGACAGAAAAAAAGGCATCTACGCATTAAGATGCAAATTAACTGAAGAGTAGAGTATTCCGGGATGAAGAATACGAAATCCATATGCACTCCGTATTTTACCATATACGACTGTATTTTGATGTAATACATCATCATACGACGATTTAACGTCGTTTACGAGCGTCCTTAGTCGATCTAGGATGCTTCTATAAATGACTATCATTGCTATTGAACGGTTCGATCGATTGTTCAATGCTGTATAATGAGAATGTCATGTAGTTACTACTACGAGTTCGAGAATAAGTCTAAACATATGATTATGATTAACTAAAATCATATTATTTATATTGATCTTTCTTTTTTGTAATAGAAATAGAGGTAATATAACTAATTGTATTGATTTCTATGTTATCTCAATAAGTCTCTCTCTCTCTATATATATATATGTACAGGATGGTTCAAAAGTAATTCGGCGGTCTTTGATTGCGAATAACTTTTGATAGGAACAAGATAGAGAACAGCAGTTTTCATCGTTCGAAAGAGAAGATGAAGACGCATCAAATCATATGTTATAGATTTTTCTAAGATATTTTCTTAATCAATTTTCTAAAAAAAGTTGCCGGAAAAATGATTTCTTATAAAATAAGAAAAACATAAAAAAAAGTAATTTGTTCACAGAAATTAATAGAAAAAAATCGACTAAGAATTTCGAGTAGAATACATATAACTTCTGAAGGAGTAACTCTCAAAGTCTGGATATTGCACAGTTTTGTAGATTTTCAGCTAGTGATTCGAATGCACACCTGATCATAAAAAATTCCAGTATAGTCACCTTACGGAGTACATTAGTTTTTAAAAATGCAGGTTTAAATCTTTGAAAAAAACTAGGTCAAATTATCTTATATTATACAGTTCGATGCGTCTTCATCTTCTCTTTCGAACGGTGGAAATCGCAGCTCTCTATCTTATTCCTATCAAAAGTTATTCGCAATCTAGAAAAGTCAATAGTATTGTACATATAAACTGAACTTCATTAGACAAGTGGAAAAAGAACTGATTCTATGAAACGAGTCGCCGTTATATGTCAAGTTACCTCTTGTATTTATATAGGGCTTCATGTAAATTTAGATCGAGTCTATATCTGGAAAAACTCGATTTTTGTATTGCGGTTAAAAACTTTCTTGTCAGTTGTTTAATTTACAAAAAAAATATTATTTTATACAATGGTCATACGACAATTACTTTCAAACAAGTAACCTCAATAATATGAAGAAACTAATTATGTCAACTCGTATTTTTCATCTTTAGTAGTAGATTCTTTATGATGAGTCGACTATTAAAAATACACAACTTTCATTCTTTTTCCAGTAATCTAATGTAAATTTTTATTCATCTCTATCATGTTCTATTCACATGTGCGACTACTATGTAAACATGTTTTATGTGTGAAATAAACATTATGATAAAAAAGAACGTGCTCTCAACATTCGGTCTTTTCATCTCCTCTCAAACATAGACCATAATTGAATAGATGAAATACATTTACAATGTTAAAGACTGTGAGTGATACATCGCGAAATCATCAATATCGAATAACACAACAACTTCAAATAGCAAAAACTAAGACAAATTCATATGAATTAACGTCAACTAAAGGAAATCCTACACTGAAATAACGTCGTCAATAAGATTTGCTAGCAAATTCGTATATAGGAGATTGTTGTAATCTCTTCGTTAAATATTGTTGTGGTTTATGCTGTTGGGCTATATGTACTTCGAATTGCGATGGATGCGATTATGGTAACTGTGATGAATGCTGTGATTGTTGATTTTATTAATTCTTTAATTTGATCAAACATCAATCAGTTGTAAGACGTAAATAAAACGATCATTTTCAATTTCATTTTAATAAATTCTTTTATTTTTTTATTGTTTTTTTTTGAAAAAAAGAAATTCTTTATCGTTCTTGACATAAACATAGTTTGTTAGCCATAGCAATCCATTTCATTCTTTGTGACACATATTTTTGTGAAAAAATTTTTTCAATGATGCTTGCCGTCAGTTCATTAGTAATATGTCTCAGATAATCGATTGGTCTACATTTGTAATGCAGACACTATTTTACATTATTATAAGGACATGATGGATCAATTGAAGATTACATATTTTAAAGCAGATCTTAAGGTTTTAAGACTCACCAATAAATATACGAAAGAACAAGATACAAACATCACATATTAGTCCTGTAGCTATCATCAACAAAAGCTAGATTTTATATATGTAATAGACACAACTATTTTACTGGCAACAATTTCTCAAAAATCTATGTACATGTAAAGAAAGACAATGCATGAATACATCTACAGTAAAATCTCTCTTAAATAAACGCCATCAAGACATTTGAAAAGTGTTTCATCTATGGGAGATATCAATAATAAAGAGGAGTGGGAGAAAAAAGTGTACATGTGTTCATTTAAAAAAGATTAAAATAGCAGTCAGAACTGTAAAAAAAATGTTCAAGCTCAAAATAGACAGGTATTCATCTACATGAGATACATTTTAAACAAAAATCATTTCGTGGGACTAGCGCTTGTTATTTAAAGAAATAGAATGTACTATGTACACTTTGATGAAGAAATTAACATTTTGATTTCAGATCTTTAAAAGCTGTATATAGTATAACATTTAAGATTATATTTAGACGATAGTACTCTTAGGGATGACCAAAAGTTCTAAACTCGGTATTTAAAGAACCTTGTCGGATAAGGTAATCTCTTCAGAAATGAAAAACTAAATCTACCATGTTGTAGAACTGTTTGAGGCGCGTCGAATGGTATATAGTAAATTCTGTTTTCATACGACTTTAAAAGAGCTAGAGTCAACTTACTGATAGACGACTATACATCCACATCCAAGCACGATAGGTTACTAAATATTGTGGTCCTTGACATTAGTAGAGGATATTTGTAAAATATATTTTCTCACATAGGATTTTGTAGAGTTTTTGACGGACTACAAACTCATATACTAAGCATCTCCGATCATTTTGTCAGTGTGGGTGTATAGTCGCCTCCCAGTAAATTGGCTCTAGTTCCTTCAAAGTCTTATTAAAACAGGATTTACTATATACCATTCGACGCATCTCAAAAAGTTCTACAACATGGTATATTTGGTCTTTCATTTCTGAATAGATGACCTTATCCGACAAGGTCCTTTAAACACCGACCTTAGAACTTTTGGCCAATGCCTAACTCTATCATTCGTTGGATATAACTTCTCTTCTTCTATCTTGATTTCTGTTTATGTATATAGTTTTTATTTTTTTTATATTGTAAAAAAATCTAGTTTTTATCCACTTTGATGATGAAACCAAAGTGTGATCATGCACCCTGCTCGTAAAAGCAAAACATTTTGTTCTCAGTTTCCATTGGAACCGCTGTATAGGGCCGAAATCTTGTTCAAAATGGGAGGTATTTAGTGATAGGGAGGTCTCAGTGTACGTATAATACTTTAACACAATTCTTTCTTATAGCATGTCTCAGATGTGTATTAGAAACATTCGTAAAGATAAAACTAGATCATCATTTTTTTATTGTTTCTTATTTAAACATTTGCATGAATTATAATTAATTCGCAGATGATTATTTATTAAATATCGAACAAAGCAAATGTCATAATGAATATGTAAAAGAAATGATACAAGAGCTTATTCAACACCATATTTTTTCATATCGTTATTAAACCTCGAGACGATACTGATAAGGAACAAACAAAAAGAAGACTAGAGTGATCAAGGTATTCATGAATGCAATTATCTATATCATAAGAATAATTTATCTTTTTTTTTATCGTCTCATATGACTATAATAAGAGTAATGTATATGAAGTGAGCGTTTGAAAAAAAAAATAAATTTTTCTTACTAATGATTCTATTTCATAAGAATTATAAGAAAAAAAAAAGAAAGAAAGAAAATTTAAGTTTAAGACCATCGAGCTGGTTGTCCTTGTAAATGAATTGTATGAATATGTTGTTTTCCAATTAGAATTCTATATGAACCTGGTTCTAACCATTTCGATCCATCACTTGTTATTGTTAATAATGAATTAATATTTAATGGAAAAAAGACTTGAACTGTTTGATTAATATTTAATCGAACACGTTCAAAACCAAATAATTTTTTAATTGGTGGTGTTTGATCATTGAATGATTTTTTTGGTGGTGTAACAAATGCAAGTACAACATCATCACCTATCATTTCACCTATATTTGTTACATTAACACGATATAAATGAATACGTAATTTTTTTTCATCATAATTATTTTTCATTAAAGATTTAATTGAAAATATTGAATTTGTTGAATCATTATACCATGTATAATTAAATTTTGTATATGAAAGACCATAACCAAATTCAAAAACAGCTTGTCCAGTATAAAATTTATATGTACGACCAGGATTTGTTGGCGATGGTCGCATTTGCATATCAAACATACTAACAGCATCAACATATGATGCTGGATAAATTGTTATTGGTAAACGTCCACCTGGATTATATTGACCAAATATAACATTAGCTAAAGCAAGACCACCAGTTTGTCCAGCATAACCCATCCAAATAAGACTTCCACATTGATTAGAATCACGTACATAAGATAGATCAAGACCACTACCAGACATAATAACTACATGAAGAGTTGTACGAACAACTTTTTCAAGTTGTTTTATTAAATCAAA